AGGTGTGTGGATGTGTGGCAAAATTGTAGACTACGGTAAAACCTTGTTATACCGCCCCTCGTAATACCACCAATCTCACTTATCGCCAGTAATCCTTAGCTTTGTAGGATATCTATCTGAAAATACACAGCAGCGTTCTAACCAGTGACAGTGTATCTGCATGGCCACCTGCAGCATGATGTTTATGACATTTATCTCTCCACTCTCCTGCTACCAACCATGACGTGGCGCCATCTGACCAAGAATCCATGATAGAAAAAATTCTATTTCTATTCTATTCTATTTCTATTCTAGAAAATTATCTATTATGGACTCTTGATCTGACCTAATCAGGACAGCGCTATGCTCGTCTCGCTTTGTCTCGATGGCAGATTGGCTTGGAATCTGCCAGCGCGGAATGCGAGCGAGTCTCTCTCGTTACAGACGTGAAACAATGCGAGTAAACACGAAGCGACGCGATAGATTGAGGCGAGGCTCGACGATGATGATGCTGCTGCTGCTGCTGATGATGATGCTGACGTGATCGAGGCTCGCCGATGAAGATGTCAGGGAAGCTGATAACGATGAATGATGAACGATGGCCACGAAGCGATCGCAAACTCCCTCTCTACTATTGGTAGTAGAGTAATTAACTCTACTATTGCTGTTATCGAGCGCTGGCCACCAGAGAGACATAAAGGCCCCCGCACACGGTGAGCTCAGCACGAATCTCACCGTGTGCGGGGGGCCATAAAGAAGCTACACTGCACCGACGAGGGGAAGGGGGGGCATCGTACGTCTATCGTCGCATCTGGTTAACTAAACACGGTGAAGACTACAAAGAAAACAACAATATCTAAAGAAACTCAAAGGAATAACAGTATCGGTGGTGGAGGAGCCGGGGGTGGGGGTGGGGAGACGGGATACTCAGTGTGGTGGTACTAACATCCCAATGCTCCGTCGCAGTTTTGTAGCTACCAGAACTACCCCCACTCCCATGACGTCACGGGCACGTCAATTCTTAGCGAATTTTTTTCCTACGCGAATTTCGCGCCCGTTTACGAACGCGTCGCGGACGACGGCGGCGGCCCGCGCGGCGGCGCGGCGATCGCTAAAATCATCGGCGAGTTTTGAAATGGCTTTCATCGCTCTCGCGGTCAGCGATTTTTCGAGAGGCGGAGTCGAATAATTGGCAATTAACTTGCTGCGCCTCTACAGGCGTGGCGTGGGGGAAATTCGCTGTAATACACAAAGTGCGGCTCAGCGCGCGTGTCGGGCGATACCGCCGCCGACCATCGACCGCGATCGACGCATTGAAACGACAGCCGGAGATCTATCTGCTGGAGGTTTTCAATTTAGTTGAGGCGGCAGGCCAGCCATCCGGTCGCGTAATAGGCAGCGAAAGGCGCGTGATGATAGCGTCGTGTGTGTGTGTGTGTGTGTGTGTGTGTGTGTGTGTGTGTGTGT